GGAAATTAAACATGGAATAAGCTGCACTAGGTGTTGTTTTACCCCAACATTTCAAATTATCCCTAAACCAAAGAATCAACCAGAAACTCACGTTATGTACTTTAGTGGATGTCATGCAAGGAGACAAGCTGGTGTAGAAACATCTAAAGGGTCAGCTTTATACGGCACCGCTTTCTCAGATCAATGGTTATGAGTGGGTTTGAGTGAATGAAAATTATATGATTTAGAGGTCATCCTTCTTCCAACATTCTGCTATAGAATCACAAAAGATTGTACCAAATAGCATAAAGAACATCATTTAAGGACTTTCAGGAACGGCAACAACTAAAAGGGATAGCACATATAAGTCAAAGAGATGACATAATCAAGATGTTGTTGTTCTACACTACAGTGAATAAAAGTATAGGAAAAAAGCCCTCATCAATACTATGGAAAGAGTGATAACGTTTATTGAAGTTAGGAGGTTATTTTCGGGAAAATTTATTTTAATAGAAAAACTTTATAAATTTTTACTAATAGTAGCAGTGGTTGCTCGATCAATGAACTCCTAATGTTTCCTTGTAAAGAAACACTTAATATTATTATTATCGTTAACAGACAAATACATCTAACCAATTAATAATCATTCAAGTACCACAGTCTTCAACTAACTAATTAATAATCATTCTTATATTGCTTGTTAATAGATTTTATTATAGAAAGCAAATGATTGTATCTAATCTCGTTTTACTGTAAAAAGTAATTATGGAGATAAGAAAATTAAAGAACATTGACAAATAATTGGCATAGTTCTCTGCTGTATATTCCGAACTAATATTTTAGATTTTTTAGTTCTCTTTTGATAGTTATAATAAAAGTAAATGTACCTCCATTTAAAGTTACCAGTTATTCAAATATGGGATTATTAATTTGTTTATGTGTTATTTAAAGACGAAACAAAATTTGAATTGTAAGAATAATTTTTCGAGTTAACTATACTAATAATACTAAATATTTCAGATACATGTCCTGCTATTTAACCAACAGCTAGGGGAGAAGGGGTATTCGTAGCTTCACCAAATGTACTTGGGCGCGTAAAACGAATCCGACTGGAATGTAATCTCGGCTCCCTGATTTCTCATTCTCAGCCGCTATCTATTTCACGACACGTATATCGCTCAAATATAGGATAGAGTCAAGTATAGAAACGGTATTAAATAAAACACCTGCTACTGCAAATTAAATTGCCATCTTCAGAAAAGGCCTAATTTATTCGCGAGTCTAATGAGTCATATGAACACAATATAGTCGTCCATAATGGTATAAGCGGGCGACGAACGAGGTCATTACAAGGTTTTACAATTTAGACATACAGCATACTAAAGACCCGAATTCCGGTGTCATTTACAACGAGCATTTCTGCCAATGGTTCGGGCTTTCTGTCATGTCAATTCTATCTCTTGAAATGTCTGTCATCTCGCTAAATTTCCTTGACAGCAGGATACTTGCTTTTGATTGTTGAAAATCTCTTTGATGCTACAATTACTTTGACCGATTCTGTCCCTCGCAGTGCCTTTGCTAGTGGAAAGCAATTCCCTCATCTTTGTTACTGTGAGATCCCTGCAGGGATTTTCTCTCCCGATCATCAATCTCTCAGATCACGTTCATCAATAAATCACGAGAAAGCGTATTGTTGCCTGAATTGAACTAAATCTGTTGTTATTTATATTGAAGTGAGTCCGTGGCCAAGTGGTTAGAGAGTTAACATTGCAAAGAGAGTTCGAATTTCCCTATGATCGATTTGACAAGGAGGTGTCTTATTGATATTATATATATATATATATATATATATATATATATATATATATATATATATTAATATTATATATTATATATATATATATATATATATATATATATATATATATATATATGTATGAAGAAATATAGTCTTAAGGTGTGCTATATTTCTGGGACAAAGTGCTCAATATCAGAGATAGAGCGTGTGTAAACATAAAAATGAAGATTGAAGTCAACACTTAGAGGTGACAGTCTGTTTCTTTCTAGACGCAATCGTCAGGCCACGAGTGCTGTTATTTTTCTCGGCTATTTATCTATACAGGTCTCTGGTGCATTGTGGGTAGTCTGTTTTGACGGTTATTTTACAAGAAGTCATTTATCAAAAACCTGCAAACAATGCTCGGAGGAAAAAATAGCTATCATTACCTTCCCAGACCAAAATAGATTATTAAATAAAAGATCCGAGCTCATCTCAAAATACAGACATGAAAACAAATTTTTACTATGTTATTTAAAAATCGAAAACGGAAAAAATAAAATAAAATAAATAAACAAAATAACAATAAAATAAGTAAAATAAGTTAACCCAAACAAATTACCAAATCGCACCCATTAGAATAGACGAAATAGAATAATCAGGTTTCTATTGATTGGTTGACATGGGATATCTGTGATAATTGTTCATTCATTTATTACTGTCACTTGGTTCAATTGTTGGATCAAGTAGTGAAGCACCAGTTCAGCAGGAACGAACAATATATGACATCGCATGGACAAAATATCCACTATATTGGATAGTTAATTCAAAATATGTAACCGCATCTACAGCGTATTCGAAAATTGGAAGAGACAAGAGAAAATTAACCAGAAATGTCTTGTCAGTTGAATTTAATACAAATCTTTGAATTGAAGACATATTGTCTATATGTAAGAGAACGCAATCCCCATCTTGACACAATACCGTTTCCAGAATCAGTCAGAATCCAGCATCTCAAATGATGACCGATCTCTTTTCTTTCTTTTTATGGGCCGTGTCCCTTCAGATCATGACTCTCCACTTCCCCCTATCCCGTGTAGCTTTCATAAGTTACGTCCTTCTGCCACCTCCCCCAGGCCACTGACTTAAGCCCGCCAGGTATGTTATGCGTTGCTTTCTCTTGTTTCTTATTCCCTCTATTCGACCTGTGAGCATCAGATTCTCCTTCCTTATAACGTGTCCTAGAAATATCGCCTGCCTCTTCCTGATGTTAAGTATAAGCTTTCTCCTTGTTTACATCCTCTGCAAAACCTCATCGTTGCTAACACGCTCGATCCATGATATCCTTAGCATCCTTCTGTAGAACCATACCTCCGTTGCGTTGAGTCACTTCTTCATCTTTGAGAAGATCGTTCAACATTCGCTGCCGTAAAGAGGGAGAGATGTCACGTAGCCGGTTAATACTCTTTTCTTTGTTACCAAATTAATCCTCCCGTCTCGTAATTCGCTGCCTAACTTTCGCAATGCGTCCTAGGCCATCCCAATACGTCTTCAGATCTCAGCGTCGCCCTCATCGTCCTCTGTCAAAACACTTCCCAGATATTTAAACTTGCGCACGCAATTGATTTTAGCGTCCCCAACCTAAAAATTACATTTCGGGCTCATCCTTCTCCTGTCTTCTTATATTTTTTAAATCCCATTTGTCCATAAAGGGGATATGTCGCAGTCTTCATTAATTCTTTGCAGTCACCTCACACCTCAAAAACACAGCTATGTAAAACTTAGGGACGAGCCTGAATAGATCCATCTACAAAGTGAACCTAGCAACTCAAAGAATCCGTTATTAATTATGTGGGAAAATAGTATAGTGCGAGTTTTTTATGGTAATTTTCTAAGCGTGGATTAAATGTGACAAAAGCATGGAGCACACAATGAGGATCGAACTCACTGGTCAGCCGTAACGGATCTAACTAAACAAGTTTGCTAACAACTGCACCAATTCCAAGCGCCCAAGCGCAAGTTTTTTAGGTTTAGTTTTATTCTCAAACCAAATAGGTGGTCACACTATACACAGGTAATAGTTTTTGAAAAGTTTAAAAGTCATGCATTGTCGGTGACCGCTTTCACTAGACACAGGTAAATCGTTATGGACGGGTTAAAATTCATACAAAATATTTAGGGGTCGCAATTTGCATAAAGTCAGTTTATACATGATTATATTCTGTAGTATATTAACAATAATAATATATTAATAGGTAATCCAGTAATCATTTATAATAATCATGGTCATCCAATAATCAGGTAAACGATTTTCCATATTGCATACGATGTTCTAACTCGGGTTGGTTTTCTGATGAAAAAGCACATTGTAGCAGTCCTGTTGAAGAATTGACCCAGAAAATATTCTATATTTTGACATTTGGTTAGCTTTTTGGAAGCAAGCCAGCTTACAAGATTCCTACATATCTCTTTTTTCTTATTAGTATGTGCTACGCCAGAATCACTTACAGTTTTGAATTTAGAGTTACTTTCTCCTAGACCGGTTGCCACCTAATGCTAGAGAACCCAGTGTGTCCTGCTATTTACCCATAGAAGAAAAGGATTTATACCTTTCACAAATAGCACTGTACGTGAAGGTAATGGATTCGATTTCGGCTCTCTGATTTCACCATCTGAGCCAGTATCCACTACTCCACTGTGCTTCCTCAACTTTTTTTCTGTATTTTCATTCTTGTTTTATCCCTTATGTTTTGATTTCATATTTTAAGTTGTTTACTGAATATGCGAGTGGTGTAATAGCTAGCGATTCGGAATGAGAACGTGGAGAGTCGTGTTCGAATACCAGTCGGTTTCGTTACATACAGTTACACGTAAATATCATTGGAAAAGGCATGAATCCATTTCATCAGCAAAACCTTGGGTTAAATTATCATCATTCTTCGCCCTCCCTATGGTTGTTCGGAACTCCATTGACAATCACTTTCCACGATGTCCAACCCTGGGTCCTGAAATTCCTGAACTGAAATAGGCCTTGGATGGCAGTCTTTTTAGAGATGGTAGCTCGACAAAAACACCCGGATGTAGTATTGGCGTCCCACAGTTTGTATCAGATGGGTTAAATGATGGGACGTGTACCTAGAAAGTCAATTGTTATTCTCACAAAACTGTTAATGCAAAAAAAAAAAAAAAAAAAAAAAAAGAAAGAATTATTCATACAGCAAGTTTCGGCTTTAGGACACATCACGTTGAAACACCGGTTCCCGTACGATCACCGAAGTTAAGCATCATCAAGTCTGGTTAGTACCTAGATTGGTGACCGCTTGTCGTGTAAGCTTGATTGTTCAGTTGGTCTAATGGAAAATATCTTGGAAGTGTTAATCGGGGATCCGAATTTCCCGTTCAGTTCGTTTAATTCACTTATGCGCGAATACCCTTGCCGAAAGTTATGAATTCAAAACTTCCATACTACAGCTATGGGCTAATTAGTATGATCAAAACATTATTATCTATAAAAATTCTTACTGTGTAAAAATATTTTCTGAATTTAAATAACATGCAAATGATTGATAAGTCGTAGATGATGAAACAATCAATTAAAAAAAAAGTTTCGATTTTAAATAACAGTTAAATTTAAAAATCAGCCAAGATGTTCTTCTTGGAATAATTTAAAAGTATGTTTTCTTTATAATTATGGCATATCATTATTATTTATTTCCTACTTCGAAAATAAAATAACGTGATTTTCTTTGCCTCACAGACATATCGCAGTATTAATTTAAAAATTAAAAAAAAATAATCTAAAATAGTCTCTCTCTCTTTTTTTTTAAAGAAACATCAGTCTTTCTCCCGGTAATGTCTGGGGCCTGCCAGCAACAGGAATGTCTCACTGGTGGGGGTAAGTTCGTCATATGAAATTAAAAGTATTAAAAAAATGACGATCATGGATGCTGGACGGAGGCAACAATTTAGGAAAAAAAATTTTTTCTTCCCATATCAACGAGTGAATCACAAGTAAACAGTTACGCTGAAATGATATTCTAACATATTTCACGGGGTTTCCTTTCGGCTAGAGAAAAGTTACTCGACATCAACACGAAGAAACTTTTTAAGAGAATTTCGAATATAATTGTAAAAGACATGATGCAAAAATCGATAAAAACAGAGAAAAATACTTAACGCCTATGCAATTTGAGTATCCCATATGTTTTTATTTTTTACTAATGTTACAATAAAAGGCTCAAGAGCCACTCAGGAGAGAGGGTTACCGTATATTGTTATATGAACGTAACTAAGGTCAAGATGTGAAGTTCCTGCGTTAACGGTTAGCCCTGTACTGGAAGACGTCTAGATGGTTGTGATTGGTAAAAACTCCTACCGGGAGCCTGTATTACAAAGCAGCAATACTTGGGAAGAAGCTGTCCAAATGGAACTGACTTCTTATTCTTAGAATACAGAGGGAATAGGGATGATTCACTCTTGTGTACGTGGCATGGCGGATCCCCGTTGTAAAGATCCTGAGTGGTGCGAGTACGTTATGTAAGCTCTTCAGCACATATGCCATGGAAATACGAATAGATCAGCGAGAAACTTACAAAGTTTCGTCTGTGAGGTGGAAAATAATACACCTCTCAAAAAACTGCATATGTCAGTAAATTTTAGGCAACGCCCTCTCAGGTAAAGTGGCGACATAAAACGACAGTGATGCGTTTCCACAGAAACATCCGAAGAGCACCTCGGGTGGAGCATATAAGCAACAAGGAACCTTTTACGGAAAATGGGAGCGAAAAGACCGCCTTTTACAAAGAATAAGAAAGAGATCTTTGAAATTTGTTGGATAGATAGTGAGGAAAGTGGGTTTCGAGAGTTTAATAGTCCCAGGATATTGATATGAAAAGAGAGGGGGGAAAGAAAACAGTGATTGTGTTTGTGTGTAAATTCGATTCTTCTCTGCGCCAATGTTACGTTCCAGCCTGACTTACCCCTAGGGTGACTCGCTTCTTTTTGACACACGCGACGAATAATATTGTATGAAGAATTATACTTACTATTCATGCCGCCATTTCATTGCTTTTATACATCGTAAGTATTTAGTATTATCGGCCACAGCATCGACTCGTAAATTACTAGCACCCACAACAAATACTTAAAGGGAATTTAACTAACACCAATTCTCTTCACCATATGCCTGACTGAATACGTTTTTATTGACGAGCGACGTAGGGTAAAAACTCGGAAAAAAAAACTGCTGACAGAATCGCAGATGTAACAATTTTTCAAAACTATCATCACATTTCTGAATGTTATATTTTCTTTTCTCTTGTTTCAGCTAATGCGCACTCGATTACGTTTTCTTCGCAACTGAACATGACTTTTCACCATTCACCATTAACTTGTTACTTTCAGTTTTCATATCGGATTGACGAGTCTATATTTCTTCAACTGCTTTCACAATTAAATTGTAAGCACGATTCAGTCGTACTTGTTCCAAATACTACTCGTAACTACCGTATTCAGCTAACAAAAATGGGTTGATCTTTGATGATGTCGTTGATTAAAGGTCACTACATATCAAGCTAATGTATCTATCTTTTGAAAATTTACGCTTGGTAAATATTGACTGCCGCATATTTACCAAGATGTAAGTATTCGGGCTCCCCTCAACAATCACTACTTCGAATTGTTTCCAAATCCAGAAAATTAGTTTAATCTAATATTCTTCATACGGATTTTGCCAATTTGGCTTTTCGTCTGATTAATCAGGGCTTAGTAGATACCTATCAATCTTAATCGTGACTGAATAAAACGTCGTCGATATTTGGATAGAAATCAAATATTTATCGATTTAAATAAGATTCCTCAAAGTTATAAGGACATTTTTCACCGACGTGATACGGCTACCCTCTGTCTTTCAAATATTTTCATGGCAGCTGTTCTGAGCATTATCAACTTGCTTGGGGTGAATTTAGTAAAAACATAAAGTAAGAGTAAAATAACTGCTATCTAGTGTTCGACTCTAGCTAAAAGCTAAGATATCGATTGATATTTACAAAGAAATCAAGTTATTTTCTAAACTAGTACAAGCAAATATATCTCATCCTCTTTCCTATATTTCGTACTGAGATCTATTCAATATAACATGAGCAGATTTTGAGTGCGTTGTGAGCGAAGCAGGTTCGTTTCCGACAGGCGGCACCGGTCCAGAACAGTTCAAATCTAAGATTTCAAACGCTGATTCTCAAGGTAATCGGTCTTTTCTCGTTTGGAAATTTCGAGCAACACAATCTTCATATCTTCTAATCTCTCTGATATAATCTTGTGCCAGACTATGGCAAGCAATATAAACATCTATTTCTGCTTATAATCAAATACGAGTACTTAGGACATATCTGTTAGCAAACAATTCGATTTTGCATGGCCAGTTATCGGAGAGGCCGGATGATCTATTTCTCTAAGAATTTACAAATTCTGGCATCTCAGGACAAACAAAAGCAAATAAGTCAGAAAGTTAATCTATAAGCCGTCAGTGAGTCGTAGGGGTGCCTGACTTAGCGTTAGATGACCACTCCCTCACACCGAAGAGAAACATATAAAACGGACAGAATTATAATAAGACCATGTTTTATGTTCGTTTTTATGGGAATTTGAATTGTATAGAAGTTAGAGTGCGGGTATGAAGATTTAGGGGTGTGGGTAGGATTTGTGAGGGTGAGAGTTTCTTTTCGTGGTATGGCGCTTGTAAAATAATGGCCACAGAAAGATGGTAGTTGAAATGAGTTATGTTTAGGAAGAGGAGCTTTACGTAGAATATGATTAGTATTTGACCGACCGGGAGAGTTACAGCCACGTCCAATTTCCAAATTCAGATTATCAATGTTTCAGTTTTATTTTTCCTTCTATTCAAATGCATGGTCGTTTATCATCACCACCATCATCAACACTTTACATTACGACTTTTACTTCTTTTTTCTTTTTCTTCTTCTTTTTCTTCTTCTTCAATACCTTCTTCTTCAATACCTTCTTCTTCTTCTTCTTCTTCTTCTTCTTCTTCTTCTTCTTCTTCTTCTTCTTCTTTCTCTTCTTCTTCTTCTTCTTGTCATCGTTGTTTTTGATGTTGTACTTCTCCTTCTTATTCTTCTTCTTCCTCTTTATTGTTTTGATTGTTTCTTTTCTATTTCCTCTTCTTGTTCGTTGTTTCTCTTCTTTGCCTTCTCCTTTGTTTTCTTCTTATTGGTCTTCAGAATGTTTCTTCCTCATCTTCTCATACATCTCCATCTTCAGCCTCTAATTCGTCTGGTCTGTCTTTTCTCAGCTTTTATTCTATCTATTTTGCTTTTATCTTTTCTCATTTAGATTTTTATTTTTTCTTCTTCTTCTTCTTCTTCTTCTTCTTCTTCTTCTTCTTCTTCTTCTTCTTAATATTATTATTATTATTATTATTATTATTATTATTATTTCCTCGGTTTTCTATTGCTTACAGATATCCTTCCGGGTCCCAACCAGACACTTAAGATTAGAAATATTTCACCACATTTTCCACTGTTCCTTTTTGTAAAAAAAAAACAACAGCCAAATAATAAAAAACAAAGATCGCACATATTTTACATAGATAATTCTCTTCGTAATATGTGAGCTGTGTGAGTACACCTTTTTTTATTCCTTTAAGGCATGGGCTACTCGGAATCTCTTCAATAAGTTAATCGGAACATTTCCAATCAATCCGAGTTCTCCCACTCAACTGCAATCGTTGATGTCTTCATGAGACACATGTTTGAGATTTTTACATCAAATTCCTTGTAATTTGACAATTTTTTTGAAGATCATCAAAGATACATGCAAACTATGTCAGTACTTTCGGAGCAGGAGTAACTTGTTAAGGGCAGGTAACTCAGTGGTATCGTCAGGTATACTGAGAGCGATATTAATTGTCGTCCACGTTAATTATAAAAAAAAAAAACATTTCTCTCCAGATCCCACCCAGAGACCTAAGGTGAGAAATGGCATCATGAATCTTTCCAATGGCCAATTAAAAAAACATAAAAAAAACCCACATGTTTTCCATAGATAAACTCTTTGTAAGGTGTGGGATGTACTCGTAAGAACAATGTTTTTGTATTTCTTTAAGACATGTGCTTTCAGGTATCCCTTAAATTAGTTTACTGGAACAATAGGGATTTTTAATGTTCCCATATACCACATTTTTGAGATTTCGATTTCAAGGTCCTTGTATTTTAATAGCTTTTTGAAGATCTCTCAGACACATAGCAGCCTGCAGGGACTGCCATATCAATATGGAGGCACTTTCTTGTTTGTGGTCTCTGATAAC